AAATTTAAATTCTCGGAAATTTAGGTATTGATATATATATATAATAAAAAAAAAATATTACGTAAACAACGATCATTTATGAAGCAAATTTTACCCACATATGATTATCATATGGAGTGGTTCAATAGAAAATAAAGGGGTTAAATCCAAAGCTTCTTATTGGCTTATCAGGAATATTTTAAGGGGTGGGGAGTCAAAAGCTAGGTCATGTTATTAACCTAAATAGCTGTCTTTTTATTAAACTTTTTTTGTATTGGTGTATCTAAAATTGAAACGGAATGGATGGATTAATCAAATTCGACTAACTAAATAAATTTCCTCTTTTTAAAAAAAAAAAAAAAAATTCAGAAAAAAAAAATCTTTTTTTTTTATTAGTATATACGGTACATTAAATAAATAATTCCACATTTTTATAATAAACTAAACGAGATCCAATCTATTTATATTTATCATTTTAGTTTGTATTTGGAGATCAAACAAAATGAATGATCGGTGATTTATTGTGTAGATTAAGAGAAGCATCCGATGTCCAATTATGATGAATTGTTTGATAAAAAAATATTAATGACGTTATAAAAATTTAGATTGAACTTACTACTCATACCTTAATTCGTTTCTATTTATATACTTATGAATCAAGTGAAAAATTACTATGAGCATATTATTGGGTAAATCGAATTTGGTTAGTCTACGGACCAATAAAATTTAGATTCCCAAATTTAAAAAAGCTTTTATTCGGGCGAATATCTGATTTATCCGGGTCATGTTGAATAATTCATTTTCTTTATTTTACTGTTAATAATTATTTACTGTAAGTGGTAAAATTATTAAGGTACAGTACATACAGTACATGTACTTCAAAACTAATTGAAAACAATTGTTTTTTAGTCATTACGACCATTTTAATTTTTTAAAACCTGCAGCCCCAATGGACTTGTAACTGCCAATCTCCATAAGATCTGAATTAAAGTTCACGATTCTTAAAAGCATTCCTATTTAACTATATAATTAATTTTTCTCCGTTTGCTAGGAAAGGAAATGATTTTTACGAAAATTCGTTACATCGCGAAACTTTTATTCTTTCACATATATAGTCAAAGGCACAATTTATTAAAACATTTATTCATAACCGCAATCTTTTAATATTATCATAATTTCTCTGCCAAGAAATATTCTAAAAGTGCAAACGTTACAATTTGTTTTCTTGCTGCCATTATTAATGGTACAAGTTTTACAAACCGACCTTTTAGATGAAATTACTAAAGTACACTCCTTACACGTTTTTTGCCACTTTTAGTTGAACATTTTTTCGTTTTCTCTATTACGCGAGATAACTTTTGTGATTTATTCTTTTTGGTTGGTTGCGTTGAGGCTGAAGCGGCCAATTCTAAAGGTCTTCCAAAAAAAATGATTGCCCTACTCCAAAATGAGTCTCCAAAATCTTTTCCCGATGTCCTTTAGATTTCATCCAACTATAAATAATAAATATATAATATAAGGTTTATATGTGCGAAAGGATTTTCAAGTAAGAAACACTTACTCTTTCATGTCAGGATCATCTTAATTTTATTTGAAGCCTTTGGCTACATTTTCCCCAACATTTGCAACCTCGTCATTATGGATCAACGTATTTGTTTTAACCACGAAATTGTTATAAGTTGTATGGCTTTCATCAAACGATTTCATTGAATAAACTAAATGAAACTTACTCGTCAAATTTTAGTGAGCTACATCCCGCTTTTTTACGTTCATCATTAAATTAATGTAACTACGGCTAGAAAAAGAATACTGCAAAAGGCTTAATTGCTACCATTTGTAATTTCTTTTTTATTTTTTTTATTTTTAATAAAATGCGCTTGGAGGAAAAAAATTAAGTTGAGATTTTGTTTAAAGGGATTTTTTTTTTAACTTTGTAGGAAAAAGTAGGGATGTAATTTAATTAATTAGGTTATGTCTTTCAAAGAAAAACGAAAGGATAAACAACATTTTCTTCGAATATTTCCAAGTTATAGACATTTTCTACATTAATGTTAACATTTCAACCACATTGATAGCCACGCATCCCTGCACTTCGTCAATTCTAGAAAATGAATATCCGTTTCACCAAATATATGAGAAAATATATGTTATGTAATTACTTGCATTACTTTAATTCCTTTTGGGTACGATTTATTTTTTGTCATCATTAGCTTTCCTTAAAGTTTAAAATTCAAGAGGGTCTAATTTCCGAAACGCAGGAAAAATAATGACGTATATTATTGGTAATTGTAGTCGGCTAAATTAACTTAATTAATTTAATGAAAGAAATGACTAAAAAAGAAATGAGATCAATAAGTCCAAAATTTTATCAGAAGTAAATTTGTCTTATTCAATTC